CTCACCGAGAGCGTCACATGCGTTACTTCTGACCCTTTCATCATCATGTCCCAGTGCTGTCACCAACGCTGCAATGACGTCCATCGTTACTGCTTTGTCACCTAGCTGATCGAGTAGTTGACATGCATCCCTTCGTATATCATTATCGGGATTCTCTAGTGCGGTCACTAGCAACTGTATGAACTGCGGCGGCGGATTGTAAAGTGGTATTCCGGTTATCAATAAGGTGGCATTCTGCCATGTGTGTTCATTATTGGTTTGCAAAAGCTTAGTAAACATTTGAATTGTTTCAGGTTTGTTTACTGTCGAGGGACTTCTACGTAAGGTCTCATTTATGTTGGTGCATAATACTTTGTACTCGGAATGCACGGCATACTCTATACACTTGATTATATAGTTCATAATTTCGTTATATTGTTGGAAGTCTTCATTATGATGTGCCTCTTCTAAGCAAGAAACGACAATTTGCATGTGTCGTATGCCAACTTTATCTAATGGCTCTTGTGAGATTTTGTCCCAGAATGTACCGTTACATTTATTGTTATCGCTACTGGTCAGAAGTCCCGCTGCAAAGTTCAGCATTAGTTCAAAGCGTCGATCGTATTTATGGTCTTGGATAAACTCGATCATTTTCTGAGGTTCTTCACCGTTGAGAGCAGTGACCAAGTACCGTGCTGCAAAATACTCTTGAAAGCTAAGATGTACAAAGTAATGATCTTTTTTTAGTTCGATTCGCATTCCAGTACCATGATGATGCGCGAATGATTTTAGTAATCCAATATTGAGTAAGTGTAGGTTCTCAGCTAATGAACAAGTAGTCTCATTTTGCGCTTTTTGAAGTAGAATTGAACCCAAAATTATAGTGTTACTTTCCATCCCAAGAAAAGCTAGACGTTCTAAGAATGCCAATTCATTTTTGCATTTTTTATAAACACCGTTTTCAGACCATGAATCAGTTGAAGTTTGTGGTTGCTTTTCCAAATATCGACGACATATCCATTCGGTAATTTCATCGTACAGCCCTGTCATTGTTAGTGTTTTTGTTTCTGACCAGCGAGTATTGCTCCAGACGCTGCAAATAAGTTCTAGATTTATCGGAATGTGAGCTATACCCCAAATCCTAGGATTACGTTTGAGAAAGCTTAGTATTTTTTCATCTTCAGCGGTTGAATTCTGTGGTTCTTTTTCGATTTCGTCAAAGAACTGCTTGACGTACTTAGAGATATTATCATCTGTAAAGCCTGTTATTTCCAATTGTACAGAATGTGATAAAGTATTCATGTATGGACGAGATGTTATGATATGATGTGGTGTCTTGAGTAACTGATCATTCAATAAATTTCTAAGATGTGTGGGTACATTTTGTGGGATTTCATCATAACCATCTAAAAGCCAAAGAATGCGACTTTTATGAAACTGTTCTTGCAATTGTTTTTCATCTTTTTCTGATACATATTGATCAAAAGAAAAGCACTCTTTTTTTAGAACGTCTATAAGAGAATAGGTGGTGCCAGCTGGTAATATAGGATAGCGGTCTGTCGTCAAAGAACGTAATGGAATCAAAGCAACCAGTTCATATTCCTGCCAAATCACACCAGATGCCCATTGGTAGGCGATGTATTGACAAAATGTTGATTTTCCAATGCCAGCTCGGCCGAATACGAGCACATTCCTTGTTTGATTCTTGCATGTTTTGAAAATGTCTTTAATATCTACTGAAGTCTTGGTACCATGAATATTTTCAAATGCTTCCATAATCGCATCGTTGTGCTGAGAATCACGAAGCTTCTTTTCTTTCTCTTGCTGATCTTTAGTTTCTACTATGGACAAATTGACGTAACTTTGGTCGATTGGAAAAGATTTGGCAGGATTCATGAAACGTTCAATACGACTATTTCCCTTATATCCATATTTAATCAGTTCAAATAGATAGCTTGGTTTATCAGCTACCTGTGACGGTATATATTGAGACGTTGAAGGTTGGTATTTTATTCGATAAATCAGTTCCATCACGTTTTCTTCCATGGCTGATGGTTCGGAGACGTTGTGAAAGTCGATCGGTACGAGATCTTTGGTTATCAGCTTCAACCAATTAGAAGGTTTCCATACGTTTATATCAGAAAGCATACATGGAATGATTCGTTTTTGCCGTTTATGTGCATACTGTAATTCAAATTGACAAAAATCAGATTTTTCATAATCGTGAGTCAGGAAACAACAAACGATTGCAGCATTTTCTACTCCGTCAGCCAAACTGCGAAAAAGAACAGCATAATTGCAATGTTTAGATAATGGAAAACAACACAAAAAATTATACCTTTTCTTTAGATCATTTGTCGTTTCTTTTTGTTCATTGAACCAAAGTGGTATATGTTCGAGTTGTAGATCATGTGAAATTTTGGATACAATTTCTTGACTATTCGAATCATAAGATATCAAAACATGTTTTCCTGCCGGAATCGGAGTACTAGAAGATATAGAGTTAATGCTACGGAATAGATAAATGATAACTGAAGAGAAAGCTGTAAATGTCATAGTCATTGGTATGAGGATACTGCTATATCTTAAAATGTCTGAACTACGTGAAGATGCGTAGCACTGTCAATGTTCTGGGTTGGCTAGAACCAAATGTATTTCGATGATAGCAAGATTCACGCTAGTTGAATTCCATACTCCTGTGAATAATTTCAGTTTTACCCATATTCTCAAGTGAATCGATAAATGCTATCATTTTCACGACGTATTCACTACGCTTTGAAGAAGGGAAGTAGACAGAACTATACTAAAAATAATACTTTGTAGTGAAGAAACTATTCCTGGTATTCACACGTTTAATATTTGGCTTATTTCAGATCAATCTGAGCACTCGATTTCATATTAGAAATGAAAAAGCTGTCGTAGAGAAGTCGATAACGTTACGAGGGTTGGGCAACGATCTGCATGAGAATATCTTTCAAGATACGAAGTCTACTTTAAGAAAAAACAGGTTGTGTAAAACAACAAAAGAATGTTCGCCTATCACTCTGTTTAAAATACAGCAAATCAAAGACTTTTCAGCCCCCATTCGAAACGTTTTGTCTACACATGACAGACATGAGATGGAAAAATCTGGCGATCTAATAGGTTGAGTATGTCCAGGTGTGGTTTTGATATACCTGGATAACAGAAATATAAAATCTGGGTCGAATGTAACAATTTTAATCTTCTAGAAATCTCGGTTTAATCGACATATGAATAGTATGCACTGCGATATGAAACTGACTTAAAAATAGTACTTTTGACTAGAAAGCTGAAGATCTTCAAGATTCGTAGTATTTTCGTGCAAGTTTTCCTTCCGCCGTGTTGAAAATAAATACTAAAGACATGAACTGTATAAAATTTAATATCTATCTATTGAAAAGCCAATCAGATTAAAGATTTGAAAATAGAAGATATTTAAATTCATGCTTTTTGATCCCAAGAAATCTGATTTGATGTCCTTTGCACTGAGTCAAACACCGCGATGTTTAGTAAATTTCATGGCTAACATATTAGTTTATTAGATTTTATAATATTTTTCAAGTAGACTTACCATTCTTCCAACTGAATGATGTCAAGATTTGTACCTTGAGGTATTATGGATTTGACGCGCAAGCGAGTTCCAGGCATAAGAACGATTTCTTTCTCACCTACTTCCCCTTTATTCGCTGCTGAGTAATTACTAATATCTTTGCCATTAATAGTATTAATGCAGAACAGGACGCCCTTCTTCTCGCCTCTAAAGAATGCAGCGACATTGCCATCTAATGAACATGAACTTACGCCCCACCAACTGAATGTACCATTTTCATGGTAATCGGAGCCACTAATGTTTGCAACACCTCGCCATATCGTAGACTGACATGATGGTAGTTCCGGTAATTTCATCAAAGCGGTAATGAATAGTTTTAGAAAGTCGAACCATGGTATCAGTGCGGGTGGATTTTCACCTCGAAGAGCTTCGTTGAGTTTCTCATAGAAAGGTGTAATCATTGAGTAAAGATAGATTGCTGCCGATTCATTTATTGTCAGTTTTTTGTCACTGCTGCATTGTTTTTTAGCTATCTCTGCATACTTCTCAAACTCATCAGCGAATGGAACGATACTTTTCACAGCTTCTTCTAATGATTTAAGAGTCCGATCTTTATAACCGGATATTGGATCCCAATCATCTTCTTTCAGCTTTGAGATATAATTGTCCACAAAGCGTCCGCTTCTTGTGAATGCCATTTGTTATGCTAGTTGATTAGTGATTTCCTATAATGAGTAAACTAATGAAAGACAAAATGAGTTATACTTCTCCGACGATGGTATTATCTTCATCTGGGAGTGAGTGTGAGTAATCATGAAACAAACAATCATCCACCTACACTCTTAAGATGCGCAATAAACCGATTTTTTTTTCTAATTAAAAGGGCATCATTTTAATTCGATTTTAATCTAATTTATGGGACTTTAACTATATAGATAGCGAGAAAATAGAAATAAATATCTTATTTTTTGCTATATATTGTTGTCTTTTCTCAAGTTGTACAAAAATATACAGAATTCAGTATTTTTTTTAACTTACTGATTAAATGAGATGTTGTAACACTAATAATTTATTGGTTGGTCTGTTTGAACCTTCTCGTATTGAAAAATAAAAATGAATATGCAGAAGAATGTTATGTTGTGTGTCAAATATGAACTGTTAATATCTAAAATTGAATTCATAGTTTATACATACAACACGGCACTTTTTCTGCGTATACTTTACTTGAGTGTAATCAAAAGTTCTGTCATCATTAGATAAAAAATCATAGATCAAAAAGTAATTATAATTCTATTCTATTAATTTTTTATTATATATCAATCAAATATAAATTAAGTAGTACAGTTACACAATCATCGAAAAATATTAAATTAAATAAAGATCTATTAATTTCAAAGCATTTCGAATGATTTCCTTTTCGGATCTCGAAAGAAATGGTTGAACTTTATTACTTTCAATGGAATAAATGAAAACCATCTACTATGAATATTTTTCTTTTCTTTCGATTACATCATTTTTTCTGATTAATAGTTGTAAAACGGAAAGTTGTTTTTTCTTCTGTTGTTTAATTAGCTCAAGAACTGAACATTTCAAAACATGAGAAGTCTAAGAGCTTATGATCTGAGAACATAACCTTCATTAAGATAAATTAATTAATTTTCACTACAGTTTTTTCTTTATTGAGCTTATAAATACTTTTACAAATGAAATAAAATGAATTGATAATTTCTATAATCAAAAGGACAGTTTTAATATAATCTCATTTATAGTATTAAATGAATACTATTATAATATTAAAAAGCCTATCATATACATTCTCAACATCTACTTCAAAAGAAAGTTCATTTTGCTAGTATACGAGAATCCAAGGATTTATTCGTGTTCGTCTTTATTTCTCATCGAAGAAAATGGATCAAGATAAACATTTTTTCTTCGCGAAGAAATTTGATAATTAGAAACGATTGAAAGAAGAATTTAAAAATTGCTGCTTTACCTACTCAGAGAATAGGAAAAATGGTAAAAAATGATGGCTTTCGTGTGAACAACATGAAAAAAATTACAGTTCTAATGATGGTATGACAATATTGATGATACTTTCTATTTTTCTGCTCTCTGAGTATGATCAACCAGTGGATGTTCGACATACCTCAACGAAATAAATAAAAAAATTCTTTGACCATTTTCGATATCAAAATGTAATATATGAATACCATCATAGTGACTCTGTTAGACGAGATATAGAAGATGAATCAAAACAAGATCAAGAATCAACTCAATGACATTACGAATTTTATTTTAAAATACAACATAATACGGAGTAAATAGAATTATTTAAAAGATAAGATATTTAGTTTATATTAATAAAGAAATACATATGAAATAATAATATGATTTTATACTTACTAATAAAATGGTTATACCTACCTATTTGTGAATAACCGTTTACCTATGTGCACATAGGTGTATATAGCCGCCTAGGCATGTACACACGTGTGTACATATATTTTTTTATTTAATGATTACAAAACTTTTTATTCAGACATGAGTATATTCTTCTCGTTTTTTTTCTGTACACTTGCTTGTCTATTTTTGTCTTTCTTTCGTATCGACTCTTCGTATTCTTATTCTTTTTCTGTTCTTTTTTATCTATTTTGTAACAACCCTCCTTCCATATTCTTGCTCAAATTTTCTTTATAATATTTTTTTTCTTATTTTTATTGTATCTTTCATACCGATTCATTCTACTCCAATCGTTTTTTTCTTTCTTCTAGTCTCTTTTATACTAACTCTGTCTACCTTACATCGCCTTTTACTTCGTATGAATTTATTTCTTATCTAGTGGATATTTTACTTATACTATAATTTTGAGTCATTTGGATTTCGTTTTCTTTATATGAAATTTTTCTAATATTTTTAAAATGTCCGATTGATTTACATGAGGTCTTCTCTAATCATATCTGTATTAGAAAACATGTAAAAAGATCGATTTTGATGGGTGTTTGCCTGTTAAATTATTAATTGTAAATATAAAAGATAAACTAAAACCATCTTAAGAGGTGTGAGAGTCTGGATTTTAGTTGATCATGATACTGTCATATCCACACTCATAACCTTTTTAATTGATTAATGAGTTAAAATAATATTATGAATTAATTTTATTTGAATTTCTCAAAATATCTTCAAAAGAATATTCCAGAAATTCTAATGATTTAAATACAAGATAAAATGAATTTTATTTTTTAATTTACTTTCTATAGAATAAAAAATAAAGTCTCTCAATTATTTTTATTAAATAAAACAAGCAAACTAAAAAATGAATTGTAAATATTTAATACAATTATTTTTAAGAATAAAATTCAGTTCAATTAGTCGAATGATTTGACAAAAACTAAATTTTTATTCGATTAGATAAAAAAAATAAAGAACAATTTTTTAATTAGAAAATATTTTCATGAAAAAGAAAAACAAGATTAATTTTATTAGTTCTCAAGTAACATGAATCATTATAATGAATTTATAAAATATAAAAACTATTAGAATGATTCATTCGATTAACAATTGTATAAAAGTTTATTTTAATTAGAAAAGAAAACTTTGAATATACAATTCTGTTATTTTGAACATATATCGAATAATACTTTCATTATGAAAAATAATTAGAATAAACTGAAACTAATATTTGACTTTTTCAATTAATTTAAAGTTTTAACAACTGAAAAATAAGATGAAAGAATTGAGTTTTCTTTCATAAAAAATATTTATATAAAGAAAAATCTTCAAATATTTTTATGATAGAAATGAAAGAGAATAGATAATTATTATTTATTTATATATTCTATTGAATTATTTTATTTTAAAATTAGGATCACTCATAAATCAAATTTAAGGGTGTGGGATGCCTGTAATATTCACATTCACCCATGCTTTACTACAATGTGTAACAGTTTTTTCAAAATCCTGAATGATATTATTGCAACGATTGGTTAAAACCAAACAATCAGATGATACATTATAAGTCTTACAATTAGAACATTTGTATCTCAATATATATAAACTACCAGAATGAAAGTTCCTTTCATCATTATCATACTTGTCATTTTAACAATGTGTAGATAAAACAAAACAACTTACACATTTATCATCAAAAATAATTACATGCCAATGAAAGTAAATGTTCCGTATATAAACATCACTCTTTCAAACCAACAATACAATGCAATCATAGTCATTGTCATATGTTCGTTTAAATACACATAAATCGTCATAGTATACAATATCTGTAATCAAGATATTCAACCCGTCGTCGTGTAATAGAAGATTCTATGATTTCCTATATAATAGAAGTCTTTTTCGAACAAAAGTATGATATATGTACAGAATAATGTATGAATATTTCATATTGTATCAGTCTTAGTTAATATTATTATCTCATTCCTTTTGACAGATCTTTTTTTGCACAATTTATGTTAATAATAATTATATGAGACAAAAATAATTTACTCAATCTTTATGTTCATCTACATATGAAATGATAATGATACATGGAATATTTGAAAAAATAAAAATAAATTTCAATAGTATATTTAATACTATTAAATTATCTTAACTAATTTATAGAGTCTACTTCTTTTATAAACATAGTTAATTCTAAAATTATTTAATTTAAAACAAATATCTTGTTTTGCTTATTTTGATAATGATTTTTACAAAATGAAAATAATAATTTAATATAGGAACATGTAAATTGTTCAAAAAATATTTAAATCATATTGATAAATTACAATATAATCTTATTTTCTTTATTAAATTATCATCATCATGTACAAAAATTATTTTAGAAAATTAACTTAGATTTTAGTTAATACAATGATAAAAATAATATATCCTTGGAGAGTAAAAGTTAGTTACTGTATTTGATCTCATTTTAGACTCGAAAGCGGCTTGTTGAGAAGTAATTATGTCTTTCGATAGCTCTTGAAATTCTCTATCAAAGTATGCCTTTTATTATATGGTGGAAAATTAATCGAATGAAATAAAGGTACTGTAATAGTGAAATTACCAAACAGTCGATTTTCTCATTGTCTTTGTATTTAGTATTATTTTTTGTTCAGATAACGATTTTTTGAGGATGTGAGAGTGAGATGAGGGTGTGGATGTGGGTAATACTCTTCTCTTTACCCACACCCACCCTCAAGATGGTCAATGTATAATATTCTTCCCTATCTAATATATAAATAAATACTCTTTTGTAAAAATTTGATTTATTTTAATTTATAATATTTTATGATATTGGTGCCGAACAAATAAACAAATACGTAAATAAATATAATAACATGAGAATAAATGAAAAATACCACTTTAACGAGGTAGTCTGGAAATACAAAAATGAAATAAGATTGACGAGAGAAGAATAAAGAACGTTTGTGTAGACTTTTTATCTTTATTCTCTTTAAACAGTACTATTACAAATAATAAATGATGAATTGATTATTAATGTTTATGTGTTGTAGAATATATACAGAGACATTTATATCCATATCATCTAATTACTCATTGAATTTTTTAGGTAATTAGATGTCTTTTATGCTATTAGTTTCATCATACATTTCTATGTGCAAAAAGAGAAAGCATATTTGATTGTTTATGTGAAACTTTTGAAGTATAAATAAAACCGACTGATACTTTCGAAAAAAAACAGTTTTTATTGAAGGTATTGATGGTGTCTTATTAGATGCACATGCTTCATTAATGAGAGACAGTCATCTAATATATATTCGTTTTCCGTGGGTGTGGGTGTGGGTGGATATTGTATATTGATATCATATCCATACCCACACCCTCAATCTATGTTCTTCTAATAAAAATGATATATCGTGGAATGATCTACCAATAAACTATGTATACATGTAAAATACTATTCACTGGCTCTAATAGCTTTCCTCATACTTGATATATAAAAAAACACCTGTTTATACTACTTCTCACGATATCCGACATAATAAAAACATTTGAAAAATGGATTGAAGGAATGCAATTGTATATATAGCTAATCACGATGATCATTTCGAACATTTGATAAAATAAACAATTGACAAACTTAATCTTGTATTTTACGTACTGTTGTGACTAACTAGAGTTCCACAAAAAAAGTTGTTATCGGAATTTTATTATTATGATCTTAGTTCGGTATTGATCAAGTAGGATAAAAAGATACAGTGAAAGAAAGACGCTCTGTCTATTCGTAAAGTAGCAATTAATATGATAGATGTCCTTCTATTCTGATAACGATTAATATATATTTATTCATCTAAAAAAAAGAATACGAATTTTTATTTAATTAGAAGATAATCAATTATTTAGTATGTTTTAGCAAACATTAAATGCTAAATCAACGCCATCTATTTAATTTACTATTTATCTCAATCTCTCCTAAGTTAACCATAATTTTCTAGTGGATCGATTTTAAATGTCTTCTTTATTCAATAATATGTTTGACTAAATAAAATCAATAATTTTTAATAATAAGAAAAGCTAAATTTGTAAATCTTCTTCTATAACAATGTCAGAATCTTTGACATTGAGTATGTTCAGTTTAGCCATGTTTCTTGGTTCTTACTTATCCGGCCTTGTTCCACTTGCATTTACTCTTTCTGAAGTAGGTTATATAATTTTGCATTGATCATGTAAATTAAACAAAAAATAAAAACAATTGTTTAGACTAAAATGCGTTATGTTACCGTACTTGGCGCTGGTCTATTAGTTGGTACAGCTCTGGCAGTAATTGTTCCTGAAGGCGTTCATGCACTTTATATGAGTGAATTAGAAACGAATCAAATGCAAACTCAACATGAATTTCATTCTGATCATAAAGTAGTTGGTCGTCATTTGAATCAAGTTGATAGTAAAGTGGATACTGACATAAAAAGTGATATTTTACCACCAGCTCATCAACATACAGCTGATCGACCAAGAGAATTAGGTTCAGAACTTGGACATAAACATACAGATACAACACATTCAGCTATAGGTATTACATTAGTACTTGGTTTTGTTTTTATGTTAATTGTTGATAATTGTGGTTCAAGAATAATACGACATCATGGAAATCAAAGTATTCTATAAACGAATTATTTATATGAAATTTTAAATTTCTATTTAGTACTTGATACATCTGGTTCAATTCTTCTTTCGAAACCAAAAGCATCATGGACAGCTACATTAGGTCTTGTTGTACATGCAGCAGCTGATGGAATTGCTTTAGGTGCAGCATCAGCAACAAGTCGACTTAACGTTGAAGTAATTGTATTTATGGCAATTATGCTTCATAAAGTAATTATTAATCCCACATTTTCAATAGTTTTAAATACCGTTCATACATAGGTACCAGCTGCATTTGGTCTCGTGTCATTTTTAATGTCTGATGGTGTTGATCGTAAACGTATTCGACGTCATTTATTAATCTTCTCTTTAGCAGCACCATTAATGTCTATATTTACCTATGTTTTATTGAAAAGTGTATGTTTTTTATTTCAGTTAGAAAAAATTTGAATTTTATTTTTTTAAAGAGAATTCATGACACATATTCTGTGGATTCAACTGGTTTAGCGATGTTATTTAGTGCCGGTACATTTTTATTTGTTGCTACTGTACATGTCTTACCCGAAGTACAATCTCATTATGAAGATCGACAATTTCGTGTTGTCGAACTTCTTATTCTTATTATTGGATGTTGTTTTCCGATTATTCTTTCAATGGGACATAAACATTAAATTGTATAAAAATGATATATATAAATCTATTTTTTTTCTCATCTATTAATCGCAGAAATAAAATAGGAATGAAATTTGTATTGTTGTTGTCTTTTTTTTTCTAGATTTATCTCTCGTTTGTTTTCAATGGGCGAAGATATCTATGTAG